TATACTGCGGTTAGATCTTATGCATTCAGTATAATTCAATGTTGGCATAGTTTAAGTAACACGACAGCATGTTGCTGAAAGCATCTGGTAGTTTATATTCTAGCCGAAATGTTCCTATCCCCCAGGTCTTCTCTTTAATGTAACCCAGCCAAAGAAGGTGCTCCCAAGTTTATTCGTGGCAGTAATACCAGTGAATGAGTAACTTCATATTTTTTGACGCAGGTAAGCGAACCGCGTGAACGCCAGAATCGCTGTAGCCTTTTTGTCTTCCTCTAGGATACGTACCTCAGTTAACCAAATAAAGTTAATCTATGGTCACAGGGAAGACTCTGAACAGTCGTAGTGTATCAGTTGCTGGTTTACAGCCGTCACCTCCCCATTGTGCGAAGAAAAATCGCGGCAAACTGGCACGCATAGCTTAGTGTCACACAGCACAAGGTCTTATCAATTGCAGCTACGCTAACAGAAATGTTAAAAAGGCGTCGAATTCCTCCGATCAGGTGGATGTGCTTCCAAAGGTGACCAATAAGTTTTAGGAATACGACGATTGAGTTATGTGGTGTTACGGCTAACATTAACACTGTGATGAAGAATCAAATCAACGTCACAAGGCGAGAAGTGTCAATTTAGGTAACGTATCAATGGTCCGAATTTGGCAGGGAATTTCAAATGACAGAGCACTTACGTCAACAGTGTTCGGAGTATGGAATTCAGGTAGTTTTACGGAAAATCTTGCGTCTGCCAAAATAGTATCTACACTTACAATAAGCACTTCCCAACATCGTCCATAAATTGCAAGAAACGAACATCTGCACTACGAGAAGTCTGAGTAAAATGAGGTAGCCTATTTTGCTTTATTGTAGAAAAAACGTTCATGCTTAGGCGTAATCTACATTTAATATTCTGGTTGAGTCCAGCACACATTAACGAGATTAAGGGAGAAGATAACAGAAAAACTACCATCGTAAGACACCCAGTTATCCTTGTCGCATCAAACGGATTTCCTACTACACAGAGTTACCGAGAGTGGGTTCATCCGGGGCCAGAATCCACATCACCATATATTACAAAAGGAGCGGAATCGAGACCTTTTACACTGATCTAATCTAAGATAGCTGGTACGTTCAGGGGTGTACAGCTCGCTGGCAGTGTTGTTCACAAATTCTTGTTACCGAGCTCTTCGTTGACCAATCCTCTTACGTGATAGTGTGCACTATAAACCAGCTCTTAACGTTTGACCTGGAAAAAGACTGATGGTTTCGCACTCTTATCAATCTCATCTGGGGGTTATGCTGCCAAGCTGACTTTACAGACTCGCTGGTTGTGCTGGTGTCCATCGTGTTACCATGCTTCCTCACTGTTGGGAAAATTCGTTTTACCGGCAGATACGTTTATTTTCTGTTGGAGTTTAGGGGATCTCAAATTACGGTGGTTAAACCCGCTAATAAGTATGAGTGAACCTTTCAAAAATAAAGTCCTTTTTCTGGCGAGAAATGCATTTGATGCACTCAGCCAACCCCAGTTCAATATCCAGTGGTTCGTATAGTATGCGACAATTCAGCAATATATCACAGTTAGTGTGCACACCCAGTCCTTTTCTGTATGAAAGTATTGGTATTTTCACGCCAAAAGAACAGGCAAGACCTCCGGCAGACATGCGTAAGCAGTCAGAGTCCGACTTGAAAAACGCGCAGAGCGATCCCCCATAATGTGCGACTAAGACACCGAATCCCCTAAAACAGATCCATTTCAGATATTTGACTGTGAATGAACTTTCGCGCATCCCTATGGTCACGTAACAAGCTCAGAAGCCCACAATGAAGTCAACCTGTCAATTTGGTATTCCATTCCATCTGTGTTTGCCACATAGCCTCCACAAACCAAATTTTGCTGAGATGACACTCAGTAGGCATTCACACATTGCATGTATTCTATTACAAACTACGACCACTGACCAGCACACCAGCTGGTCTTCACAAACATTCCAACACTAACAACGTCCCAACATACCACTTGCCGTTGTGAGGTCCAACGACCTTTAGTCTCTCTCTCTCTTCAAAATGAAAAGCAAGGCAAACAAATTGTCAGCAAGAACCCAAAATGCGGTGAAGTTATTTGTTTCTAAGTGAGGAAGGTCCTAATAAGGACCACCGACATTCTGATTTAGAACAGATCAAATTGAAAAAAATGTCCACAATTTCATTCCTCTTCAACAATGCTATCGAAACATACATTGATGAAGATCTCCTACCTATGATGTAGTGCTGATCATATTGACTGTGGGTCAATACCTCGACAGTCAATACAGGCAGAACGAACACCATTACGATAACCCGGGTCCTAAGAGAAAAAATTAGGTCTTGAGAGAAAAGAACCAAAGTTCCATCACCACATGGAGGTTATTCACAAGTACTTTTGTATCAAGCAAGTTATCCAAAGACAATATGTTTGAGTGATATTTTAATTTAACGAGCCACTAGTTACAAGGAACTGATCACTTACCCCCACGGAACGACATCAACTCCGGAAATCTTCGCGACAACAAGTAACTATCACTTTATTATTACGAACTGATGATGACTGCAATGGAAAACGTGGGTTGATTTGAGCAAAACGTGTTATTCAAGTGGTTTTACGAATTACATATTCGTGTTACATTTCACATTACGTACGAAAGTGTATCAGCAATAGAAAACTTGTTAATTTTGTGGTCTCCAGGGGAAAAAAATCAAGTCGAGCATCCGAAGATCTGTTTGGCTCCAATGCCGTAGAGAAAAATGCAACACAACTCTTTCAGAGGTTACACTGGCCTTTGTAGGATAATTGGCTGGTGCTTTCTCAAAACAGTACATTTGTCAGATGCCAGAGTGCCGGTACAATGTTTCCTTCATTACCCATTGAATTTTCTGAGACCCACAATATTCTTCAGACACTGATCGCGAAGAAGACGATCCGAGTACGTGAAAGCTACAGGCAAATTCCTATCACCATAATTTCCGAATGACTCAGGGTTAGACGCATGATGGAGTTAGTAGTAACCACGTAAAATCTGATAAACCTGAAGTTAGGTTCATCAGGCTGATTTCAAGTATCAGAGATCGCTACGCACAAGGCCCACTAGAATGGCATGTGAGAACTACGATTATCGTCCGCTGACCAGCAAAATGCAAGGCACTCAACCAAACAAACAGTCCAGAACGGCCAGCCAATACGATCAAACATGACAATAACAACATTCGTCTATCTGGTACGGACAACCATAATAATAACAAAAACATCCTACATGGGTGGAACTATGAACAACAATTTCAGACACACCCTACGCTTTGAAAAGAAAGCAAAGAATCATGAAAATACGGTATCTAAAATAATTCATACCTACCCCTCAATGGTTATCTAATCACGATACCGCATCAGCCAATCTGTGCACATATTTGCTGACCCGATGAATATGTGCCAGAGTGGCCCACTTGTGGCTCTCGGTAGATAATCCTACTGACGCAATATTCAACTACAAAGACTGTGGTGGTGGAGTCCCATGTGCACACCGCGGAGGAAACAATCCGGCAAACGATGTGGATAAGCAAAACTAACGCACAAGGTAAAATCCATTCTGCCTTCATCTGTACACCACAACAGAGACCTTGTTGATTATTACTGACTGTCAACAGGGTGTGGAAAGGTTCTAGTTTTGTCCAGTGCGGTTTCTACGGCTGCAGGTAACTGCAGGTCAAATTATTGAGCAAATGAATTGTGGATAAAGGTCCATGAGCCTGCTTGTCTTAGCAGCAGTACAGCCACTCAAGGTACATTTGTAGCACTGTAACAGATCACGCGACCTCAGTTGCGTGAATGATAGATGACGTTCTGTCAAATCCACTCTTCCACCACGTGCCAACTGAGCTCAAGACACTCGTCATTGGGGCGCATCGAATCAAGCTTTCCGTGAGTGCATGCACATGTGGTTGCGTCGAGCGATCCTCGTTCGGAAACATCGTTACCATATGCATATCTAATGTTACGCCTTTCATTATACCCAACGATGAGAAATGAGTACGTTAAAAGGTCACTTCGCCTTATCGTGTAACCAATCATTTGATCGGAATGGTTTACTCCACGTAATCCAGCATACACCCAGAAACAAATGAGTGCGCACTGATCGGTTCAGTCTTTCCTAACAAGCTGGTCAACAGAAACAACCTTAGTTTATCAGCACTCAACTACGGATTTTGGCACGACGGGTGTGTCCTGTAACCCAGAGGGATATAGAACCATTGAGTGCGACTTCTCATTACTTCTTCTTTGACGTGAACCTTGTTAGTGCCGCCTGACATATCGACGAGTTGGGTGACGAGTGGAAAAAAAACAAGAAATGGAAACGAACAAATTTACATAGTCTGCCTACTAGATACAAAGATGGCGCAGATGAGTGCTACGGCCAAGGTCTGGACTGCTTGAAGCAGAGAAACTACAGCGACTGACCGTGATGTTTGTGTAGTTCCGCACAGTGCTTCAGATGTATGGGGAAAACGAAAAAGAAAGCCATTATTGGGAGCATTAGAATTGCCTTTTGAAGATAATACCCGAGTCACTCCATCTTTCCTAACAACTTTAACGTCATACGTTGGCCGAATCCGCTAGTTCAGTGTGCAGTTCAAGAATGAAACGGGTGATGGTGTTTTCGAAATATAGTCACCAATGGAGCCACTCAGACGAATTTCAGCAGAACCACTAACCCACCGCTACGCACTACTACGCTCTCCAATAACCCACTGATGATGTTACACCTCGGTTGGTGATAAAGCGTTTGCAATCCAAATGCCCAGCTCAGCGAACAAGCCAACGACCACAAAATATCAGCCCAATTCTTAGCCACAAAACTCATATGTTACGACTGTATTGGAATTTCTTACGCGCAACACCTTGTTCATGTCCATTCATGCTTGAGTCTCAAATGACCAATAAGGACTCGATTGTCATGCTGAAACTACCTTACTTACTTGCCTCAAAAGGACTGAATGGGAGAATGCATATCGTGATGCATACCGAGCAGCTCCGAGTTGTTTCGACATTCACTTAGAAAGCACAACCTCTAAAAAATGTCCTTATTATGATTAGGCTTTAATACAACCGACGCAATTCTTCCAAAACCACTTTCGAAGCTTTGTCTGGGATGAGATCCTTCCATATTCAAAATCCTACCGCTTCCATTTTCTTCTCGCAGTAAGCGCCTTCTGTGTGGTGAAGCTTGGTCAAAGACTGCAGCCCAGTTATCGGTATGCTGACTATCAATATTTGACTCAAGGAACGTCAGAGCACAGACATACAAACAGATAAAGATCAAACTAACAATGTACATCAGCGCTGGCCAACTCTCAAGTGCGGCAGCTTCCGCTAGGTTTGTTCGAATTCACAGTAAATTGCATGTGGAATCCGAAAGTTGCGAGAGTTCTGGAAAAAGAGGAAAAAGAACTAGAAACAAAGAAGGACAGCCGTTTTCCAGTCCCAAGGTGATTCTTAACGTTGAGGGAAAGGTTACTTAAATCTCACTCAGTGCCTCATTAGGATTTACGTGAAAACGTTCACCGACAACAGCTACCTTGCTACCGGAACAATTCTGACAGAAGAGCAAAGATCGTACTATCTTTTGGCCCCAAGCACTTTTTTGAGTTCAACTCCCATTAGTGAATTTCATTTTCATTCCAACCAAAGTTTGACCCTGCCACTAGAGCGCAAACATCAACCAGATCTCCCATCAATATCTGATGTCTGTACTGTCTGTCTTGTCTTTCCATACTAATGAAGGAACAGTGGCACTCAAGTGAGACCAATCTCGCCGACGTAGAGCTGCCGATTAAATCAGTACGGAAACAAATAATCTGATAGGGCCCAAGAGCGAACATGGCACATGAGTGTCAGACAAAAGTAGAAGTTCGCGAAGTTCGCTCACATTCAGACTTATCTGTTGAGGGTAAGATTGCGACCCTGGAAGGGACAAGTCAGCACGCCAAACTAACAACCTATTGTCACCCATCATAAGGACTTAATACGTGTACATGTAAGTGATAATAATTTGTTAGAGCACATGATTAAACATTCTCCATGAGCGAATCAAAACCTTTGCTCGCACAACTTGTACTAATGAAAAACTCTAGTAGGTTTATTGCGTAGCTTAACCCGCTCTGTACACGGAGAGGGGTGTTAACATTGTGGCGCTTATCTGTCAGGCTACAGGCTAGTTCACTACAGGGTGATTTTCCGTCACTGACGTGTAAGATCGCATCGCACATCAGTTCACTAGCTTGTTGCAAACTACTGAACCACTTTCTTTTTACTTTCCACATTTTGCTAAATGGTAATTGAGACATCTAGTGCTTCAGCTTGCCTGTCTCCTCATCAAATTCTACACTTGCCTCGTTGTCAAATTAGACGAAGCCCAAATGTGGCCCGAATTTGTTGTAGCAAGCAGACTCAAATAAATATGCTGGGTCTAACTGAAGACGAGAAAATTTCTTCGTAAATATGATTATTAGGATCAACCAGATTATCTGCCTTTTCCGGCAAAAACTGGAATGAGTGTTAGACCATTGATTGTGGCCTTCAAGCTATCCTGTTCTTTTTTAACTCTGTTTGCAGATCACAGAGACCGCTGTGTATTCATTCAAAGCTGAGGGATATGCAGATGGTGATTTAGGAGTGAACAAACGTGGATAGTAAACGAAATCATCCAAGTCAAGATAGCACGGAGACAGCCACGTGAATGGTAACATGTATCACCTGTTTTCCTGCACAATGATCAACTCGAATGGACCGGGATGACGAATGCTTTGACTCAAGGTCTATTGACGTCTTCAGGACTCAAAACAATAACTGCGTGGTTACAGTTGTGCTTTTCTTCCCCACCTGAAGACCGTTGTGGGAAATATTATGTCTGCTTGCCAGGATCTTTTCATCCGAATATTGCTATCCATCCGATGTTGCTACCACGCTAAAAAGTTGTTTGGTTAGTCTTAGCAGGATATCCCTCAACAACAGTAAAGCTTGCCTGATAGAGAACGTCTATCTCGGGTCTTTAGGAGAGTTGCATCGCTCCAAAAATATCTCATCGCCTGGGCACATGACAAGCGCGCAGTCAGAGCCACTAAAAATAACTTCCGGACCCTCCTTGTCTATTATGTTAGGCTTATTAGCCTACTGAGTCCTGTTCTGCTTTCAACATGTGTTATGTGGCACGCAACCGTGCCCATTTTGCGGATATTTATTGAGCGCAGTCTCTGGAACAGCGGATTTCTTTACATTAGGATGGGACTGGTTAATTTTGTACTGTTTCATAGAATTTTATGAAGATATAGAAGTAAACCTTTGTCAATCCTTTGCTCTACCTTACATGAACTTCCCAAATCTGCTGATTACTTTCTAGTATAATGGCCTGGTTCACGGATCCCGTCAGCCCTAAGGTAAGAACCGACAATAGCAACTAACGGAAACGTGTTCGAATTCGCGCTGTGTTAGTAAAACCTGGGGATCACGAGCAACGATCTCGACTGGAGATTACTCGGCGAGTTCGTCACGCGAGTTCACATGAAGAACACCGAGCACGGATGCATCAGAACGAGCAGTCACATATTGTCTGATGCTCGAGAGGCATTTTCTTGGACTTTGTACCCGAATTATCGGTTGGCTTCCCTTCTGTCTAGAGAAGATTGAGTTGAGTTTAGCGACATAGGAATTTTCTCCTGTGCATTGATAGTGATATTCGGAAACATCCATACGTGAATTTGCCCACTAAGTTGCTGTCCTCACTTTGGAATCCAAAAACTCCCTGATTTTGAGCTTCCATTATTCTGTGAAGAAACGCGTTTGTTGCGCTTGCATAATTAAGATGGAATTCTTCCTAATTACTACTGCGCGCAGTTAGAACCTTTTGTTTTTTCTTTGGGTATTACTGTTTGTGTAAAAGGACTGATGGCGACCGAAATAAACCGGTCACTGCCATTCTGCATACTGGTTGCCGTGAATCCGGGAAGATGAAACTCTCCGTTCTCTTCATATATATTTTAGATCAGGGTGCAATTCAGAGAGTGGATGATAATCTAAACACCAGTTAACACCTAATTTTGTCAGTGGTAACTTGCGCAACAAGGAGCATTGGTCGTTAATCGCGTCGATCGATGTCCAGTCCTATCCTCTGAGATTGGGTGGATTACGGAAGGTAACATATCGGCAGAGCTTACATCTGTATACTATGATACTCTCAGCCCCGACTGGACACTGCTAGCTATCAAATAAAAACAGGTCTAGGTGTTACAACCAATCCTGGCAAGTTTCGCCGTGATTTCATTCGTTCTAGTGTGCTAGCATTAACCATTACCAGAGCCTTTCTGCTAACTCTGTGGTAACAACCAGTGTTCACGCTCCAGAAACGCATATCCTTGCCGTAGAATCGGACAAGAATGATCGCACTCAATCGATCACAACTTCTTGTTGTACTTTTCAGAAAAAAGATCGAGTGAAGGGTACTTTTTAGCCAAATTCAGAAATGTACGAGACATGATGCTATCATGCGACAATATTCAGTGGTCAAATGTCAACTTGTATTTCTTAAAAACTAACACGGACTACGAAAGCCACGTGATTTTATCAACTGACCAACCAGCCACGCGAGCGCTGGTTGAATTATTTTGAGTATAAGGTTCAAGCTAGAGAATCCTTATGCCGCAGTGGTCAGAATCTTTGTTCTGATTGAAAGCGGTGTGCTCCCAGTACTGAGTCGAGAGGTAGAAAAGCTGTTGCGGCACTTTACTTGGTGCCCCATTTCCAATAAACGACCATATTCTGGCTCACATGGTACCAACACGCAGACCGAAGACAGAGTGACATATAACGTCGTTAGATTTCTCACACCTTGCATTATCTAATGAAATGCATTACTCGCTGAAAAGAACCAATCATCTACCGAACTTCAATCAAAATTCTGCGTCCTGATCAGTTTTAACGATTGTTACTTATTCCTTGAGACTGGCGAACCACGCCTGACGTCTCAAAAGAACCTAGAAGTTCACATACATACACAGGCATTTGTTTCCAGTGAAACAACCACCTTCATTGGTGAAGTGTTGCAGCTCAACTGACAGTAAAACCTGACATGGCGATCGACAGGATTGCACAACTCATACTGTCGAGATCACATGCGACCCGAACGTCAGGTTTCTTTCTCTCCAATGTCATTGGGCTGACACACAAGACACCGGACGCTGTAGACCTTTCGGTTGGCGACCTGGAGTTTGCCAAGGGCAGGCGGCTGTTCTCAGTAGTTGCATTCTCTTTGCGTCAAACCCCGAAGACAAGCCGATATGTAATGCGATTTCAATCGTCCGACTCAATTAAACTGGCGCCTCGTCGTGCCCGCGCAACTGGAGGATAGAGCTCCTGTCTGTCACACACGAGCCCGAGAGGAGCAGCGTTAGCTTCACACGCAATCGTTTGCGTGCCCTGCGCAGATACGTATACGTGCACAGCCTTGAGGAAGCACAATGCGCTTATTGGATTATTAGAATTCCCAACGAAGTGCAAAGTCCGTCGCTGGAGGTGCGAAGTTCTTGACAGTTTTGGAATTAAATATACCAAGTATACGATAGACATGTTTTGCGATCAGTAAACGCGAAATCCTCCAAGAAAGTCTGGACCCCATGTTGACGCTGGGCAGTATGTGCTTGGAAGGGTCCCTCCGTACTTCCTGTACACGAGCTACTAAATCTTCCTAATCGAACTTCAAGTGTAGTGGATCAAGGTGGCACTATGAAGCACACTGAATGAGTGTTGGGACGATTTATCAAGTGCTGACTTCAGGAGCCCACGAGAGTATCATGCACGGCACTTCGGTAAAAATTTCGTGCCAGCAAGACTGTACGGGGGTTAACATCAATGTTCGAAACAGAACTACTTCAATCTGTTTTGTTAAAACCTATTCGCTTATGACGGAGGAATAGTGATTTCCGAAGTTCCACAGTGATGTCATCACTGATTGTCCACTCATCAACTTTGTGCTAAAATGAAAGTAACGAAACTCAGCTGTATTTGGGCCTACAATTATTTGGCACCGTACGGCCAGAGGCAAATTCCACTGAACTGCATACTGACCAAGAGAATGGGTTCAACAAAGCTACGTGGTGGAAATCCGAACCGATCGACCGGAATATGCACGGTTCAAACCTAACTCTGGCATCTAGACCCTGTCTAGGCTTGAGCAACCTGGAGGTATCTCAGCCCTCGTACTTTCTTCGAGTAGGATGGCAGGAAGACGCTGAAAGTATGTTACAGGTGAACGACTATTTTCATTTACCAAGAGAACGCGAGTAAGAACACTGCACGGTTCAAAACTCTGGCATCTAGACCCTGTCTAGGCTTGAGCAACCTGGAGGTATCTCAGCCCTCGTACTTTCTTCGAGTAGGATGGCAGGAAGACGCTGAAAGTATGTTACAGGTGAACGACTATTTTCATTTACCAAGAGAACGCGAGTAAGAACACTAGGTATCTGAAGCACCGACTACTTTCCTTTGCGATAAAACCGATTGCAATTAAAATAAGTTGCCCTGTCTGGAGTTTGACAGATTGGGTACACTTGGATGACATCGTCAGGAAACCTATACTTGGGGCTTTTAGGCGACATTTCCAGAGAAATATGGCGGGGCCTATTAGACTTCTTCGACAATCCACTCGGGGTAGAATTGCTTATGAATCATCAGACAGGCGTAGTCTTGGGCGTAAACCCAAGCTTCGGTCTTACATGAGTGCAGTTGGTAACCCTTTGTATTTATAGGATATTTTAACCTCATATGGTTGCAAATGGGGAGTTGAAGCGAGCCTCGACTACAAGGTCCTTCAACTGAGTGGGCAACGCAAAAGCTGTCTGTGTTCCGTTGAGGCGATATCCGGGATTTGCTTCGATGTAGAGCTGTATCACCAGCGGTCTTCACTAGTGAGTGAGTCAATATAAGCAGGGAAGTTAATCGTACGGGTTCGGAGGAGTAAACATGAGAGACAGGATTAAGACAAGGTTAAGGGCTGCAGTGAACGAATAGCCTGGCCCGCGGCGGTAGGAATGCTACCTTGAATCCAGCGCTCTCGATCAATTGGAGCGTCAGCTAGTCATGCTTCCAGATTACAATCGGTTAAATATTAGCTTGTTTATGGCACAATGACCGTGGGTAACAGTTCGCCGTGGCAATCCCAGAAACGAGACAATGGGGCCGTCAAACGGTACACCAAACCAGCACCAAAGACTAAGTTCTAGTGAGTAAATCGCAGCGTCCCCAAAACAAGGAAGTCGACTGTGCGGAATCATTGAGTTCATGCATGCTCCGAAGACAAACCAGTGGCAAGCAACCAATGCTAAGCAAACGGGTATAGATCCATTATGTTCTGACTCAGATTGCGGGTTGTTGATGCAGTTTACAAACTGAAGGAATAATCACACAGCACGCGTTGTAAACTACACACTATACTGCATACAAACGGATATGGAAGTACATTCTACAGGAGAGATATCTAGCTACTGTAATTCGAAAATGTACAGGTGTCTAGAGTACTATTTTTAAACAAAGCTATTCCAAAATGCTGATGTTGACCAGATGACCACGAAACAGACATATACCTTATAAATAACGAATTTTTATTCTACATGAACCCTAATATCAATATTTACAGCTACATTGATAAGAGTTCTGAGCTTGACCCCGGTATTAGACGCATCGTTGGATCTAGGAACGAGCGACTGATGTGCCTGTGCTTGCAACAAGAAAAATCTAGAGTGGGATGTAGCAGCTCGTCCGCAGTGTCGCTGTCGAGAAAGCCAATGTAGTCAACAGGTGAGCTGAATTAGAACCTTTATGCCATGCGGGTATATTGTCCCCGGAGATAGCACTCAGATGTGTTGATCAAAGCTAGATCAGGTTTACTTTTAAGATGGGGTTCAAGGGTACCACCTGAAAGGCACTCTACGGAGAGATTCCATCCAAAGGAGGAGGACTGTAAGTCGAAAGGACCCAAGATCTAATCGGCAAAATGAACGCTGGACGTGCCGTCAGACAAGGGTGACACTCCAAGTAGTAGGGATGTTCGGCCAATCTCCACACCATTTAAATCACGTTCCTCATTTACCGAGAGAGATGTGGACGAACCATTCACAAAATCATCATTGGAATTGAATAAAACAAGCACATTGGACGTTTTGCCACTACCATCCCTACAGGCACTCAAAATGATAAAATACTGCCGATCCCTTTCCAGTCCTGAATCAGTGATAAAGTACTAGTCGGCAGAATTAAATATATGGTAGCCAGAGGCTGGCCCAAAAAATAACCGGTATTGAACGATGCCAACAAAATAATTCAAAGAACAAACAATAAAAAATGACAATGAAATTGCGAGAACGTCACAGAAACGGGATTCGAATCAAAAGCCGAAAAAAATAACAAACTGCAACAAAATCCTATTGGAATTGTTTGAGAGAATGCCTGGCAGAAGACCATCTGAGTTCAGAACAATCAATTGCTATTGTGTCCAGCGGTACAGTTGCATCTGCAGGAATCGGGAGCGCAATACCAGCGTTCAACCGAGCAACCAGACGCGCAGCCCCGTAACCGGCTGTGGTATTCAGTTTGACAAGCTTCAGAGTTCCTCGCCACTGTAAGAAGGGTATCGTATCCTCGTCGAACACTGATCGAAAACCTTGTGAGGAAGAGATAATACCGTAAAGTGAAAACAACAGCGGTTCGAAAGTAGAAACTCACATATTGTAGCTACTAGTTCAAGCTATTGAAATGGTGGCTTAAAGAACAAAGTCTCTGGTAAGCGAACGAGCATTTTATGACATCACTATTTGGCACACTAAGCAACTGCGCACAGTACACCCATTTTTTTGTTGCTCATGGCAGCAAAAAGGGGACATTTAGGAGGTTAGATGTTAAAGACCATTAGTTATGTTATGTCTTGGTAGCCAATGGGAAAAGTATTAGTTTCTGAAAATCCGGTCATCCTTAGTTGAGGGCATGCGTTTCGATTAGGAGATAAAAAAGGTTATAGACAGTGGTATCAGTAAATCTTCCCGAAAGGGCGTCCTTGGTAGCTACCAAAGATAAAAGTCACTTCACCGTAATTTCTGGACGTCAAACGCACGCACGAGTGAGCACATAAAGATCGGCTTTTTAGGCACGCGGATCCATAGAAGATACCCAACTATCTACTATCGTATGAATAGTTGCCATATCCAAAGATGTCAGACGACGCAATTTGATAACAAAGTCGATGATCAGTACTAGACGGACGAAGCGGTAATAATAACAACGAATTTACCAGACTTTCACCCAATTTGACTTGACGCAGGCACTAAACACTGAAACTTTTGTTGTGTTTATCAGCCAGCCAACCTGAACAAGAGTTGAAAGCAGTTAGGCCGAGCATTTGAACCACCTGTATAGAATAGCAACAATCCGTTTCTGTGTGGCATTTACCTTTGCCAACAGAGAATCAATGTAGAAAACAACAGGCGTTCGAAACTCAAAGTGGTACTACTTATCAACTTGGAGACGCGTCTGGTGAGGGACGGGAAATCATTCTCTTGAAAAAGTGGAGCAGGACGGGATGCTTGATATTATTTGTCCTATATAGTTTTATAATTTGGACAATGTAACAAGCACCTTCTACCTTCCACTCGAGTTTCCATTCTTCTATTACGGAATTTGAAAGTGCTGGAAAAAAATATTTCGACTATTGATGCAAGCGAAATTGACAGTGATGGAGAAAGATATTGCGGTTAGGTGGCAGAAGGTGTCAATTGAAAGCAGCCGCCGTGTGGCCATTGTAAGAAGCCCACATGAGAAAATATGCACAAGGCAGTTTGTTAAAAGGCGAGTCGTGCCTGGTGACACTTTGGTTGAACGAGTCACTCGGTCTAAACAAGTGATCACTTACCCTCGTGGAGCAGATCCCAACTTCGGAAAACTTTGCCACAACAAATAACCACTAGCTCATCCTTGGGAAATGCTGGTGGCTGTAAAAAAAACAAGATAAACTGAGTGAAAGATGGTACTCAGATTAGTGTTCACAAACAGAAGACACCCGAACAGATGTTTATCGCGTAGAAGGCGGCACAGTAATCATTGTCAATGCATTTTGTTAGATTTCACGACATTTCTCGGCAGCTGAGAGTAAGAATGACGATGGGGATTTTCAGCTGTGGATAAATCTGTATCATCCGACCGATTCAATACTATCGTCAAGCGCAAAGGCTCTCGATGGGATATCACATCTTTACACGATGCTAGGCAGGTGTTTGGATGAATAACCCGGAACGGCCAGCAAGTGCGCCCAAACAGATAAAAAGCCTTAGAAACTGATACAGACTATAATAGCAACACCTGCCGGGAGTGGGACCGTAAAAAGACTTCCGGCAAGCCCATCCTTTAAACAGAAGCCAAAGCCAAAGATATGGCGTAAAGAATTACTAATACATGTTCCCCAAGCGTTATCTGTTTGTGCTGACATGTTCATGCATGCGTGTGTGCTTTCGATGGGCTGGTGAATATGCGGCTGAACAGTGTAGATTTAGCACTTAACCCAGCCTGCTAGATAATCCTAATGTTGGAACGCAATACGATCCATGTGGATCGTGGATTCGCACGTGAACCCAATGAACCGAGAGCGACCTAGCGAAACGTGTGGATAAACAAAAATAATACATAAGATAAAAACAATCCATACCACTGTTCTAAGATAACAAATGATCTCCAACAAAAAAGAAGTCCTTCAACTCTTCCAATTCTCTACGACATCCACCCACAGCTGCACAGACGCGCAGTCATTTAACGCACACGACGCCATTGGGGAGGGGATGGCGAAAGAACACAGAAATCTAAGGGCTAGGAAGACCAGAGCACAAAACCTTGACACCAATAAGCAGGGTTGGTAGGTGTCCCCTAGTGCGTTGATGTTTAGTCTTACCGAGTGTAAGGAATGCTCTGAATGCAGTTACACGGTACAATCGATGGCTAACCGGGAAAAACAAATTAATCCATCGCCTTTATCAAAGGAAATGTTTTTAAGGTTATGCAAATGATAGCAGTTGCCCAACTGAACAGATATACAGATATACAGACCATGTTCAGCAGTGAAAACATGCATAGGTTGGACGGTCTCTTAGATCTGTCATTCTATTGAATGAATAAACGCGGGGATAAAACTTAACAACACCGATCCTGCTCTCAAGGCAGGCTAGGGAATCCAAGAAGTTAATTGGAGCTTGCCCTTCAGAGTATATGCACATCTAACTTTGGCAGATTGTCCTTCTGGCGTGATACACTCCAAAGAACGCACATATCTATGAACAGAATAGACGGGATTGTCGTGTCTATTCAAAGCAGCTCACCATGGAGCACGGAAAACCTTCGAAAGTCCGTAAGTAGGCTTCGCGAACACCAAAGATCAATTATTAAGGCTTTATTAATGTGGGCCTCAGTTTATTCTGATTAGCCCCGTTGTAGCTGGTTTGCGAATCATGGGACAATTGCCGCGCTCTTACTTAAAGCACTTCAGCATTTCAGGCGTTGGGATTTAGCCTACGGAGATGATGAATCCAATCACCCAACATAGTTAATACGAGGTAGAGTCTCAAAGAAGCCGTTAGTCTGTGATTCGAACCAGAGTGCCGCAACGTTGGTGAGCCTCATTAGGAAGAAGACAGCTGCTCCCATGACTACGGTTGGGTAGAACACTACGAAAACCCCAAACAGTGTTACTGTTTTAGTTATTCGACAGGATCTCTTCTCAACGCTTATTCCATTTGGTGCAAGATGGTAATGGATACTGTGGCCCCGAAGCTGATATTTTAGGCTAGCTCGTGTTCTCTGGTGCAATCAAGAGTAGGTCTATCTGTAAGGATGGTACTTACATGGGTTACTGTTGAATGTGATCCGCATCGACAATAGGAGGGTCGTGATGGCTAGAATAACAATAAAGGGTCAATTAGTTAAGGAGATGGACAAAACTCCAGAAGCAGCAGAAATAAAACAAGAATGTTATTAAAATGGGGACGAGGAGTTGGTTTCTTTCCAGCCGATATCGAAGAGCAAAACCAAATAAGGTGGGATTAGGAACATAAAATGACCATTATGAGAAAACAATCGTTTAAAAATCACCACTCAAGAGGAGAAGGAACTTCTTTCAAGAATGGATGATATTACGTGAAAACTTGCACAAACAGGGGCGAATGACTTAAGGGCTATCTTATTTATGACAGTTACTCTACATTGCACGCCGCTCGGTAGGTATTAAAAAAGCCACTGTTATCAATCAGTAACTCAACAAAGAGGTGCTGGTGTAAGGTTAAGCACATGATCCTCCATAAGGAGAAATCGCGCGGACCTTGTTCATTCATTCATATAATGTCATTTGTGCGGTTTCGTGTAGCGACACATGTCTTGACTCAGCCGCTGAGACAACGAGTATGAGCTATTTCACCTCCATTCAACAGGTGGATGGTTGATAATCACAAGGAAACTCAAAACATAATCGTGGTTTTATCCATAGACTTCCCGAATCACGTGGCCTATCAACAACTGATTTTACCCAAATATAATGAAGGTCTCGATGGTTGCGCACTGAGCCTTGTTCATAATCAGTCACAACGGCTATTTTCCTCATTGAATTTAAGTATAAGCAAGTGGACTGACCCAAACGCGAAAATCTCAGCTAGATGCATTTTAAGACACTTGTAGGAATGTCTTCCAGGTGAGTATGTCCTAAAAGCACCACCATATGTCAAGAACTTACAAGTCGTCTGTTTTTTTACCATATGCCGCCATCAGCGTTTACTTTCACATGATCGTGAAATGGCGATGATTGCGTGACTAGACCGATGACCCCAACGGTGCTGCATTTGTGGTCTTCGAAAAATTCAACATGCTGATTCTTTTGTCTCCCTTAGGACTGCGAAAAATACAGTTTTAGACTATTTCCTTTATCCTCCACAAAAATGGTGAGATATTTGTCTGAAATATCTCAATTGTTTCTCGCTGCTGTTGATCCCTGTGCTGACAGATAAGAATTCTTGATCCCGCACACATGGTAGCAAAACGAAGAGGAAAACTTGTTTTCCTGAATATTATCGCGATTAACCAGTGGGCGTAATTGCATCGGGCGATTCTCGTTCAGAAGTACCGTGACCAAACGCGGAATAAACTACTGTTACACAAATAGTAACATGATGCTGACAATGTTGAGTATTTTATTCCACTAACGGCAAGAAATGGGTATGCTAAAAAGTCACTTCACCTACTTATGCAACCAAACCAACCAATGGATTGGAATGGTTCGCACCACGTTACCAATATACATGACCAAATAACTGAGAGCGGATCGACCGGTTCACCGGCTGATGCGATAATCAACACGCCCATAGTTCATCAGTAACCGAATGCAGCGAGTATCACTCCTCAGCATCCTGAAAGCCTATCGAAAGCGACTGAATTAGCTACGTTTTTTCATAGCCCCAGTAAACATGAAGTACTACATATGGAAACGGAAAGCTGCAAGATCCCTGTGGACAGAAAGAGGGCTAAGAATAAACCATATGAATCATTCCCTAGCCCCGAGGAGTGTCTGTTCGGTGAATCCAGTGCCTCCCTGAGGCTTAGGCGTAAAGCACCACCCGAAAAAACTAGTTTGTGCCTCATTCCATGGACGAACTTGGCATAGAAACGAGAGTAGGGCTGCTCTGTGCTCCCAATCGATTTTTGAGATCAACAGTCATTAGCAAAACTCAGTTTATCTGCAAATTTGGCCAAGTATTCCGCAGATATTTAACTGAAATTGGCAGTAAAGACAAACGATTGCACTCACGTGAGATGCGCCTGGCCCACATCGGCATCTGTCTGGCAGTACCGGCTAAATACCATGGGAACAGAGAAAACAAATGGGAACCTGGAGCATACGATATGTACGCGTCGTAAGAAAAAGTATATGCTTAGTAAAAACTACAGACTTAAGGCAGAGCTGTTGGATGCCTTCCGCCTACACTGAGGAGGTTAGTCTCAATCATAAGGACGTCACGCCTGATGAAATGCACAAGAAAATGCGCTTGAAAACAACTGTATGGAAGACTTGTGGTGGGTCAACTGTACCCCAGACAGCACCACACCACCGCGCCATAGGTACTACAAAAATACTGGGGATAGGAGAATAAGCAGAGTGGTCAGGATACCCGTAGGGTTTTGAAGACCCAAATCAGGGTTTGAGTTAGGAGGCGGGTTCCATCTGTCATGGATAAACCCATAACCGAAACAATCAGCACTTGCAGATCCACATGAATACGCACTTATGAGGGAATATCTTCGCGCATCAAACCGATCAATCAATCATTCACCTCTAGCACCCTTTCGGTGTTGCTGTCATGCCACACGAAGGAAACACGAGGATTTGAGATACTGCCCGGTTGCCAGAGCCCAGACAGGGGAAGTCAGGAGGTAGAGGTTAATTACGAACCACAGACCTTCTGGTCAGTAGGGTAGCGCTCTAACCACTGAGCTACCCTTGTACATCGCGAAGTTATTAATTATGACCCGCACTAAAACCTTTTAATCCCCTGACAAAAAAATTTGGGAAAATAATAATGCTACGATTTGGATGAGCAGTGGAGAATTTTGTTCGAAATTCCACCAGAGCCATCTTGTTCAGTTAAAGACCTCAAGCAGGGAAAGAGAAAAAA